TTGTTTAAGCATACTTTTTACCCATCTTTCCATCTTTTTCATGTGAGGGAGGGAGAGAGTGTCGGAAGTATGCCCACAAAGCCACTCATTTGATGTAATAGCTTTTGGAATACTTATTGTGTTAAACTATTATATGTTTAATGAAGGGCAAAGCTTATTGTTAATCACTATTTATTATATTATGTGTTTAAGAAATAAGGGAATCCAAAGAATGTATTTAATCTAAGAGAGAAGTGATCTAAGTAAGTTAGATTAACGAGATATTTTTCTTATGTTCATTCCTAAAACATTCCTAGCCATAGGATTGCCAATTGGGCATTGACAATCTGCTAAGGTAGTATGTGTTATGTTAACTCAAGCGTGAGTATGACTAGTCTTAAGTCATTTAGTGTTGGACACTGAGATAAACACATAGGTGCTCAAAAGGTAATTGAGTACACTGAACTACGATCAAAAGAGAGTTCGAACATACATGCCATGTAAGAATTCGTAAGTTGCAATATGCAAATTAGTTATTTGGCCTAAGGCATCATAGATGTCTAATGGTTAGGTCCTTGATCTTTGATCATGTCAAAGGCATTCCATCGAGAGTGTCCACGACATTGTTGCGATCAAGCTATCTAGTCATGTAGGAATATGAATGCACAATAAGGGATCTCTAACCTTCCATGGTGGAGGGAGAATACTCTGATATTTGATTCAAGAGTCTTTGGCCAAAGCATACGAATATGACTTAGAAAATTTGTTCAAAATCATATTCAATTGAATCATATAGAGAAGTATCACATTAGATAGTAGACATGAAACAAACTATCACTTAAACAATGTGATCAAGAGTATTGTATTAGAAGGACCGTATTGCATTGTAATTGTAACTGGATAGGTTCTCCAACCACTTATATTTAGCTTGGGTAGCCATGACATACTGCTAGGTGTCACACATGGTTTGTGGAAGCCCTGAAGATTAGCAAACACTAATCTTCATCAAAGGGAGAATTGAAATGTAGTCTCAATTCACAATCGATCGTATGAGTAACAATCGCCCACTGCCTCGCTAATTGGAACCTAATGTATTGTACACCGAGTAAGGATGAAAATGAAGAAATATAAATGAGATAGATAAGCAATTAAATGATTTAATTGAGAATGGTCAAGATTAATTAATTAGTTAATTAATTATACGAAAGGTTCATATTGGGCTTTCAAGTTAGTTTTAGGTCTTGGGGCCCAAAAGGGTTTTTGGTCCACAAGGCCCATTGAGTTTAAGTTGTGTGACAACTAAAACTAAATGGAAATTAACTCAAATACAAAGTCAAAACCGGCCATAGGGTGAGTGGTAGCAAACTTGGGTTAATTGCAAGTTTGCCACTCACATGTGAGGTGGTATAAAGGCATTTTTATAGCCATTCTCTCACTAGGATTTTTCTTTTGAGGCAAAAGAGCAAAACTCTTTCTCTCTTTGTCTTCCAAAGAGGCCGGCCACACATAAAGGAAAATAGCTAGCAATCGTCCTTCCTAAATCATCCATTTCATATTCACACCTCATCCTTGGTGTGGAGACTTAGAGACACCAAACTTTTGGTGGAGTTCCTCTCCTCAAATCCTCAAGGAGTAAAGGAGAAGCAAAGAAGCAACCATCTAAAGGAGTAAAGGAGGTGACTTGAAGGTCCTCCACTTGAGTGAATCCCTTGTGTAAACAAGGATGAGCTTCAAGGGTAATGAAACTCAAACTCTCTCTTTTCTTTAATTTGTTAAAGAGTTTTTTGGTTCACCATTCACTAGGCTTTGAAAGTCATGGGTTTTAGAATTGTTTTTTGAATGCATGCCTACTTTAAAGTGTTATTAGTTTGCTTATTTGTTCAAATGTTCTGACATGTTCTTTAGCTAGGACAACATTTTTTCCTTCAAAGAGAAAGGAGAGTTTGAGAGAGAGATACGAGAGAGAGAACTGGGGACCAAGGGCTAGTGGCTCACATAACAAGGCCAAAAGAGACGAAACGAAAAAAATTCTCGCAAAATGTAAAATTACCCAAATACCTCTGACGTTTCAAATATCGTAAAAACATCGTCTTAACTCCAAATTTTAATTTCGTTTACGCCTATGCATTTGTAACAATGAGTACCACAAGGATACGCTAACATAATGGATTATACATCTCATGATACGAGGGTCAACGAAAGTTTACAATTTCACCTCAAAGGTCATTTTCGTAAATTCAAACTTTCAAAATTAAAATACCTTAAAATCAGGAATAGGTTATTACAATCTACCCCCTTATGAAAATTTCGTCCCTAAAATTGGCAATAACTTGCTATACATAAAAAAATACTCAAAAGATAGGAAGAAAATATATATAAGGAAGAAATCGAGTCAGAGCGGTTGCATAAAAGAGAATGTCATTCCATCGCGATCGGATTGCAATGGTTCCTCTTTCATGCCTCCAAGCTCATACTTTCATCCTCCTTTAGTATAATAGTATGATATAATACCTATGTACTAACAAAAGGTCGAAAAAAAAAATAAATATATATGTATGTATATATATATAATATAATATAATCTCTACTAATCTCTACTAATTAATAAAACACTCATTGTCAACCAAAATCCTATGAAATTACCAGTTTAACCCTCTAATTAAAACAAAAGATGAATAAGAAATATGGGCAGAAATGTAATTTCATACAACCAAATTTGATGTTTTTTTTTTCAAAGCCTTACCTACATGTAATCCTAACATATTTCTAATTATAAAAATTTTAAATTTTTTTTAAAAAGACTTTTCACTCTCACATTCTCTATCACTCTCTCCATCTTTCTCACCAAAATCCTTTTTAATCGCTCTAACCACCCCACCTCCTTCATCCCCTTCTCCCACCCCGCTTGCCTCTAACCCACCAACAAATTATGTAGGATCTTCCTCTCCTCCAACCCTAATCGCCCTCTGCCAGACCCACCACCCAACAACTTCTCCCACATCCTTTGCGTTTTCCCCAGGACCCCTATTTTGCCGCCCCTTGCCTCTTTGACCCACGAATCCTAGACTGGATGCCATCCCACCATGAATGGGCATCCAATGTTCTGAAGGTATGAGCCTCATTATTTAGTTTTTGCATCTTATGCGAGGTTGGATGAGGAAATTTTTAAGCATTTAAAATCCCTTGCAATACGTTCGATGTGTCATTGAAATATATATATTAATCATGATTTATCAATCCTCAATTACTTACATATTTTGCTGCATTCGATTGTTTTTACTTTGTTACAGGGCTTGGTTTCATCTAAGTAGAGTTCCACATTATACAACTTTTGGGAGGTGTACTGGAGTTAATGATGATTTTAGTGTTTCATGTAACAATATCTTTACAAATTATTATAAAATTCTGAAAGTATTGCCTAACTCATCAGTTTGGTTTTATTTCACTAATGTTAGTAATTGTTTTCATAAGTTCATGTAACTCATACCACAGTGAAAAGATTTTTTTTCTTTTTCACAATGACGTATACATTTCACATTGATTATAAAAAGAAAATTGAGTTGCACATATATAGTGTGTGTGCCGGTTGCTAGTATAATAATAACATAACGTCAATATATATATATATATAATAACATAAGTTTAAATATTTGCATTGAAATTAAAACTGAAAATGGAAATGACTCTCACCCAAACATTCGTAATGTCACGTACTCCGATAATATGTGTATGTGTGTGCCTATGGGTCGAGCCCCAAAAATAACTAGGTAGGTTCAAAACCTAATTAATAAATACTAATATAGATGGGCCTACTTGCTCACTTGCTTACGTACTCACTGAATAAGTTATCGATAATACAATCTGCAGCCCACAATACCGACAACTCATTGTCGTCTCAATAAGCAAGTAAAAAAAAATTCAATGATGAAAAATTACTATATTGCCCCTCATTGAAAAATGCACATAAACCGTCCGATTCACGTCTCAATCACGTTCACGTACTACCCTCAAGCGCATCAATCCGAGCTGTTAGAAGTGCCTTGACATCCATGTACACACGAACCACCGGATCCTGGGGGCGAAATATATGGAAGATGTGACTGGGACTAACAATTTTCGTAAACCTTTTCTTTCATGACTAACGCCTATGATCACTCTTCTGATCGACGGGTACCCGATCTGAAACATGTACTAGAGGAACCATGACTCTGACTACTACTTTTGAATGGCGGTTACTGTCTCGAACCCCCCCCCCCCCCCCCCCCCCCCCAACACAAAAAAAATGGCCCCAAAATCACCATCCACATTTCTACCTTCACCAAGACCCGTATAGAGGAGGAGGGAAGACCTGGAAAAGCTAAGCACAAAGTAAGAATAGAAACCTTAACCCTTGTTCAACCTATTTCTCCTTCCCATTAAATACTAATAAAGGTATCCGAGCAGTTAGGTAGGGCGCGGGTATCCTCTGATCCTTCTTTTCTCCTCTGTGTTTAGGTGAAGTTATTTATAACCCTACACAATAAACTCCCATAAAATCAGATGAAAAACCCTAAATCATCCGGTTTTCCCTACTAAAAACCATATCATCCTCTACATACCACTATCTATTTGTTAACCCTACTAATTTTATGCGCTAACAATTACAATATCAAATGAATGCGAGAATATATAATCTTATAGAAGAGGGGTGTGATATCCACACACCCTTCTAATTTTCGACCGTTGGATCGGATGAATTGAAGAAAATCAACGGATAGAAATTAACAAGGGGTGTGTGAGAAGTAATTTGGGGTGTGTGGATAGCACACCCCATAGAAGATTGATACAAAATGATTAGGATTGAGATATGGCATTTTTAAATGAATTCCCCTCATTCAAACGCCTATCAAGCCATTATGCTTACATTATACATTTCTCTGGCGGCAGTTGGCCCCCAACTCCAAGTGTCCCATCCTACTCTAAATTGCAAGTCTGTTGCATTCATAGACATTTATAACACCACCATACTCACCACTAGTGGCTTAGATATTTCACTAACTCACATCACTCCTAATACTATATGCATTTACAATTCATTTCCCCAATATATCCATATCCACCACCTCTTCTTGCATTGACATACACAAATTAGAACTAGAAATGGCCTCCCTAGACTACTCTTCCAACTCTCCCAAAACCCCATCTTTTGCATCCACACCTAAAACACCAACAAATAATAATACACAAAATCTCCAGAGCAGGTTTTTCAGAAGCATTTCAACAAAAGATGCCCCATCCTTCTCGAACTTCCCCTACACCCCACCGCACCGCACCAACTCGCCTTCCTCCCATACCCAAAGCCTCCATGCCTCTCCTACCGCCTCTCCTCTCCACCCTCTCCAATCATCATCTCCCTCCAAGAACCCCGACCTCCTCACCGCCTACCGCTGCATCTCCTCCGTCCTAAAGAAGGACGGTCAGATCTTGACAGTTGCTGCATCAAATGGCCTAGTTTACACTGGTTCCGCCAGCAACCTCATTAGGGTTTGGAAGCTGCCAGAGTTCACGGAATGTGGGCAGCTCAAGACCAAGGCTTGCATGGTCGTGGCAATGGAGGTGTCCCATGACAAGGTCTATGCAGCTTATGGTGATGGTAAGGTTAGGGTTTGGCAGAGAACGTGGGATGGCGGGTTGAAGCACGTGAGGCTGGCCACAATTCCGAAGACCGGAAGTTATGTTCGGAGCTTATACATTGCCGCCGGGAAAGATAAGATGGTAAGTGAAGCTGTACGATATGTTTTTTGCTTGGTTTTGTATTTATGGCTCTATTGATGGTAGGGCTTGATGGGGAGAGATTTTTTCGTGAGATCGGTAAACGGGGTTGTACACCACATGTAACTATATAAATGATGATATATGTGTGTTAAAAAGTTAATAACTTAAAAAATAAAATTTATCACCACTTATATATAAACATGTGGTGTACCGTCTTTGGTCCCATCACAATAAAAAATTTCTACTTGATGTGTTCGGAGGGTAATAGTTATAATTAATGTGTTTCACGTATGTAGGGGTTTGGAGACACTCTTAACTACTTATAGTTCTTGCGTGTCTAGAATTATCTCTTCTACTTGGTAAGGTAACTGCAGTAAACACGAGGATCATTTTACATCACTAATGCTACTCACTGCTCACCAAATAATATCGGTATGTCTCATCTGGTAATTTATCCGTTATAAACAAATGAGGTTTAGAATGAGTTTAGGTTTGAATAATTGAAACTTTGCTAGATAGTTTGGTTAAATAACTGAGATATAGAAATTTGTTTACTGCAGTAATACTCAATATATATATTCGGAAAATGATTTCTCCGTTCCTTTTATATCCATACACACCAATGTTTATTTTTGATATTTAGATCGAATAAAGTATAAACAAATTAATGAATAGAAGGTCACCCAATTCAGTTTGAAACCGGTGACAAAAATAGTTACTAAAATGGAAGGTCACCCGATTAATAAATTTTTGTCACCATTTCTCATTGGCAACATCAATCCTTGTTACCTCAACAACAGCTACTAAATAGTTACTAATTAGAGTGGATGTTGCTCACTTTTCTTTTCTTGTAGTGAATTTCTCGTTCATATATTAGCTAACCATAGTTTTGTTCAGTAATTTCCCATCTCATATTATTGCAAGTAGAACGTTCTACTTATAGATATTTAATCAAAAGATATTCGTAATATCATTATTACAAAATGTTTTTCTATTAAAAATGTTGTTGGGACTGGCCAGTGGAGTAGCACTTTGCTTTGGGCATGTAAAACATGAATTTCATATATGCCAAAGTCACATTTGGGACTTGATTTATTGACAACCTACAGTTTCTGTTGGTTTTATTTATGACCATTATAACACAAGACAAAATGAAGTTGTGAATTAGATGTGCCAAGAAAGTGGAATCGTATATACTTATTATTTCAAGCTGGATTGAAAGTTAGCTGAAATTAGCAGATGGAACACGGGGACACTACTCACTACAGTGGAAATAGATATGGGAACACGGGGACACTACTCACTACAGTGGAAATAGATATGAAATCCACCTATGTGAGTCTTCTAAAGTTATGTGGTCACTAATGTGTGGTCCATTCTGTTACAACGCCTGGCGATTGTATTCAATAATTCTATTTGCACACTCACTAATAAGAACTGTTGATACACTTCGTAATACAAAATTGACTCTTTTGTTGTTTGTCGGATTCATCTGGTTTGTCAGTATTGTTTAACTAAATAGTATTGCTAAATGCTATTTTTTTATAAAATAAAAAAAACTCTTAAAGTAGTTAGAGAAGTGATTTGTGCATACATTTTTTCTCTCACTACACATGCATGTTTATTCTAATAGTTGAATTAAATAAATGGTAATTAAAGGACAAAGATAAACTGGAGTGTGTTGAAAAAGATAGAATATGTAAGAATTATTTCACATGTTGTTAGTATGTAAGTGTTAATATATAGCAGCTCCCCACCTTTAAATAGGTATATATTTGATCGTTGTCGATATTATTACATCATAACATACTTTGTTCTTGGTGATTGTTATTATAATTCCTACCATTTGCTAAATAGATTGAGTTAAACTTACTTTAATTACTTTTTCAATGAATGTAATAGCATATGGGTGCTATAACATCTCTGGCCATCAATGTATCAGAAGACATCCTATACTCAGCTTCCATTGACAGAACAGTCAAAGTATGGAGAATTTCAGACCTAAAATGCATTGAGACCATCAAAGCCCACGCTGGGCCGATCAACGAGATCATCATCGCCGATGATGGCGTCCTCTACACGGCCTCAGACGATGCCACAGTCCGAGTCTGGCGCCGTAACTTCTGCCGTGGAGACCAGCTTCCTCATTCACTCACTGTAACTTTACCCGCCAAGAATTCCCCCGTCAAAACCCTAACCCTAACCCCAGATGGCGGAGTTTTGTACGGCGGGTGCACTGATGGGTACATACACTATTGGCTCAAGGGTTGGTTCTCTGGCCAATTACAGTATGGGGGTGCACTCCAAGGTCACACCCATGCAGTGATGTGCTTGGCCAGCGTGGCCAACTACGTGGTCAGTGGGTCAGCTGACTCCACAAGTAGGATTTGGTCTAGAGATGTGGAAGATGGTCAGCACACTTGCCTGGCAGTGCTCGTAGGGCATAGAGGGCCGATCAGATGTGTCACCGCGTTTTCCGGAAGATTAGGGGATGAGGCGGAGGATGGTTGCACAATTTGTACTGGAAGTCTTGACGGTGTTCTTAAAGTGTGGCGTGTGACCTGCACTAACAAAATTGCTGATAATTTGTGTTCAGCACAAAGTGAGTGTGAGTATTTTCAGCTGTAGTCGAAGAGAGGTGAGCAACTTACATGGTACTAGGATAGACATTATACCATAGCGTCCTGTATCATGGAAGTTCTTCTTGGAAGAAAGGGTGACTTCAATTTGGTAGGTAGCTGTAGCCTATAGCTAAACTAACAAACTTGTCGTACTATTGCTACATATATAATATGTACAGAATTCTGGTGTAGCTACTTTGCTCATGATCTATGTTGTTACATTTATATAGGAGTGACGTAGTTTGTGCTAATTTTAGAAAGTAAACCAGTACTGTGCTCCCTTGGGCTTTCAATATACAGCAAATATTAGTTGCCCGTTGGATATGCAAATTAAATAAGTAGGGGGTGAAAAAACATTTTGAATCATTGTAATCGGAATCCGTTCAAGCACCTTGGTTCAATATTTATACTAGAAGAGTAATCTTGACAAAAACTACTATTAATTTGTTCAATTAGTGAATTTTGTTCAGTGTGTGGTTTGGCTCATTGTCTGCTATTAGATTTGCTTAATTTCTTAAGAAAGGAAATAGCCGAGCCGAATCAATCACTGAGTGGACTTGTTTGAATTGGTTATGCTACTAATTCGAGGCATAAATTAAATCAATCTGAATCATCGTGTTACATTGATTGATCCAGTGTAAATAGCCATGATTTAGATCAACCTTTTGATTATTAAACAATAATTTACAATCTTCATTACGTGATCCTTACAAATAAATAATGGGATTGGGACCTGCTCTATATTACGTGATCCTTACAAATAAATAATGGGATCGGGACCTGCTCTATATTTACTTGACACAAAATTGGTTTTTGGCTACGGTATATGCATTTAGATAGTTCGTGTACTACTATGAAGTAAATGCATGTATCGTTGGTCAAAACCAACTTTTAATAACAACATAGCTAGATAACTAGCAAATGGAAAAGATGAGAGATACAAATCATGGTACTGACTGATGATTCACTCTGGCCTCCGAACTTGACAAACTTCGGTTAATATCTGTTAACTGCAGCTGCAGGGTGCTGATCACGAGTCTCCGGTGACTGCATTTCCAACCTATCGTTCGGATTTGTTCGAGGCGAGGACTGCGAGGATTATCATGCTCCCTCTTGAAGCACAACTTACAGATGATGTAACAAAGCACACGCAAGCCGAAGAGAATGCCAATGATGGCCAAGGCTGATACAACATAGCTTCCGACGGAACGGTGTCGTTTGCAGCCAAAAAAGAACCCTACACACACCATGGCTGTATGTAATTATTGACTTAAGCATATATAACATGTACATATATATCACAGTGTGTTCTTGCTTGTTGAAACTTGAAATTGTTGGAAGGTTTTTAAGTAGTGGTTTGTGGGTGGTATTCTTGCCTTCAACAGATGCTATTTGATCACTTGTCACTCAAGTATGGAATATGATCTTTGATTTTGGATCATATGAGAAAGGTTAAAGCAGCCGTTCCCTTTTTCATCATTTCCTCATTAAAACTTTAATAATTGCTTTTTCAATTATTGAGATTTAATTAACTCCTTGGATCTACACATAAACTTAAATAAATCAAATAAAGTCCGCATGAGCTACTTTGTACGGAACCGGATCTCCTCCGGACCTAAAGAAACTGAGCCCAAGGATTAAATGATCCGGACCATTGAAATTAATAGATTCAAAGTTCTAAAAGTAATAATTGTAGCCGTTAGATCAAATTTCAACGACCCGGATCATTTGATCCTTGAGCTCAGTTGGTTTGGGTCCCGAAGGAATCCGGTTCCCTTTGGTACATTCTTGAAAGCGAATGGTCATGTACTTTATACATTATTATTTTTCACAATCAGGATCACTTTTTTTTTTTTTTTTTGAACAATGAGGACCACTTTGGCACACACGAATTGGAGTTGATGAAGTAAAGTTAGAAGTAGGGTTGCTCATAGCTCTACGATTTCAAAACATGTATTTACCCTCGGAGTTTAAAATTAAAATTCTTTTCTTCCAACGCTGTTTTTGTTTTTTGTTTTTTTATTTCGACAGAAGCAATAGTGTTTCATTACTAACAACAACCAATTACAAGAGGTTTTCATTGGGAACATGTTCTTCAGTGATCAATTTTTTATCTAGAGACAATTCATACAAAACTCAAGTGATTTTAAACCCCTATACGGCTACCACATAGACCACACCACTAGCACTACAAAAAATATGGCCATTGCGCACAATAAATTATTTGCACCCTATGAGGCCAAAGGGCATCAACATATGTGCCCATAGAACAATGGCAACAATGCAGCAACTAAAACAGCATGTGTGCCCTCTATGGGCCTGCCCTTTGTTCATAGGACACCATATGACATTTTGTGCTCAAAGATTGAGCACAAATAGGGGTTCTTTTGTGTCTCAGTTCTGACAACACTCACTTTTCCAAGCCATGTTAGCACAATTTTGTTTTTGTGCCCAATAGGTAAAATATTGGGAAAAAAAATATTCAAATATTACAAACAAGCTTTTACAATTTAGTTCTGCAAACAATCAATTCATACGAATAATGAAAACAACAATTCCTAATACATGTTTTCTTCTATGAAAGTAAAGCCAATTCCTAGTACTTATTGTTAATTCATGTTTTCTTCTTGAATAAGCAACTAAATACATGAGGTTGACAGAGCTTATTATTATCTATTCTAAAGTAGGGGGGAGGGCAGGCGCTATTCACCTTTTTTTTTATTTCACTATATTCACAGCAATACCAGCCGAATGTGGCTGGGTTGGGAGGGTGATTCTCAAAATTTCAGAGGGTGATTTTGTCCTTTGAGGTCAATTCGTCCCCCCTCGATTTTGCTTTATTTACAAAAAAACCATGGGATTTGGGGCTGGGTTGGAACGTAGTTATTAAAAGTTAGGAGGGTAATTTTGTCATGTACGCTTGAGACGGATTGGGGTGGGTTTGGGTATGCTGTCATTCGATGAGGGTTTTGGGGATGGGAGGCCATGCCTCCGATAGAGAGAGAGACAGAGCGAGAGAGAGGGAGAGGGAGGAGTGGGGATCTCAGTGCCATTGCTGCAGATCCTCGATTTCATGAGTGGGAGAGGGGGGACAGTCAAAAAAGTATAGGGGTACTCCGATCTCTCTCTCTCTCTCCTCCGTTTCTCTCTCTTAATTTCCTTTTGGTTTTGGAAATCTCTGACCTTTTGGGTGAGTGAGAGATTATTGATGATGAGAAAAGTATGGAGGTCTGACCTTTTGGTTTGGGTATGCTTTCATTCCTCAATTTTCTCCATCCGAGCAATGAAAAATCGAACTGGGTTTTCAGATTATTGATGCACAGGGATTCACGGACAGAGAAGGGAGAGAGAGAGAGTTGATTGAGGGAGTTGGTGAGTATGGGCTTGCATAGAGGGAAGATCAAAACAAACGTGAAAAGCGCATGCCCTCCCTCCTAAGTGGGAAATGGCGAGCGCAGTGGACCCAATTTCATGGAAGGTTGGTTTAAAGCAATTCCAAAATTTGGGATCGTTTCGTATATTTTTAGGTTTTTCAATTTTTCTGATTCATTATATTTTAATTTTTATTGAATTCAGGTAACCATCTTCAAATTTTCGGTTTGATTTAAAGGAATTTTTTAGGCAGAAAAGCTAGGGCTTTCCGGTGAGTTCTTCGGGTTGTACATCCGGGTGGCTTTAATTTGTTTAAATTTGGGGCTTTTATGATTTGGGACTTATAAATGGTTTGAAATTTACGTTTTTCTAATTTCAATTCCCACTCAGAAGTTTGTACTGCCTCATCATTAGAACTGTTTCCTTCTGCTCTTCTTCTCGAAACAAGGTCGCAGATCCACAGGCCATCAAGGTATGTCATTTAATTATATATTGTATATGTATGTATTGTATTATGCATGTGTGTGAATGTGTTTTTCTCTGTTAATCTGTATTGGTTTTCTTCTGATTTAGTTAATGGACTTTGTTTTTATTTCAGATAATTTGGTTCATGCTAAGGTTATTGAACGTACGATGGAACCAGTGATCTTTCAAAAAGGTTGGTTCTTCTATATTTTTATCCTTTTGGTCGTTTTGAATGGACTTCCTGTATTCTGAATGAAGCTAAATTGAATAGGTGTTTTTCGTATACTGTATTTTCTTTTGTTAAATTAGTTCTTTTTTTGTTGAAAAATGTTATTTGGTTTTGCAGATCAAAGTTTTTCAGCAAGAAAATTATCTGTCAAATTAAATTTATCGTTATAATTCTACATGTTCTTGGTTTGCATTTATTTTACTTGATTGTGTTAGTGGTTGCTTTTGTTTTCATCCAGCTGCCAAAACTTTGCCTACACTGTCCATCTCTATTCTCCACCGTCCGTTACTGTAAGTCCATTTTCTTTTTCCAGATTTTTCAATCCTTTTATGTTTCATTTTCTGAAATCTTCATGTTTCTGTGCATATATATATATATATATATATATGTATGTGTAAATATTGTTAGATATGGGACTGTAAGCAGTAGTGGATTAGTGTCAAATTGCACTTAATTAGTGGTTGGGGTGTAAGTAATGTGCTTATGCGTACCTGTTTCTTAGTTTTAATTTAAGTTTTCTGCATTTAAAGAGTGGTTAAAGAAAAGTTTTATGTAATTGATTTTCTGCTATAATGTTTTGCATTCCTTAGTTATATAGTTCTACATGTTCTTGGTTTGCATTTATTTTACTTGATTGTATTAGTGGTTGCTTTTGTTTTCACCCAGCTACGAAAACTTTTCCTACACTGTCCATCTCTGTTCTCCGCCGTCCATCACTGTAAGTCCTTTTTCTATTTCGAGAATTTTCAATCCTTTTTTGTTTCATTTTCTGAAATCTTCATTTTCAATGCATATGCAAATCTGTGCTGAAATTCCTCTCTAGGGATTTTCATTTGTAGTAGGATTAAATCGTTTAAATTCATCTTTATCATTGTATGAGAGTGGCCATGTTTTATTTTGTTGTCATCTTTCCTAATTGATTTGACTGGATTAATATGCACTTAGTAATGCATTCTGGCAGCAGTATGCATGTTAATTCAACCGAAGAGTTAAGGTTCTATCACACAACAGGAAACTGGATTGATACCTACTACCTGGCTATCAGTAAATGCTGAATAACAAATTTATACAGATTATAAAGGTTCATGCATTCACAATCTCATTTTAAACTTGAAGGTAGTTGAGCTGAATATACTGAAAGATAGAGATGTGCGCACCGCTTTCATCATTTCAGTTATGAGAAAAATGTTTGAAAATAAAATATATTAATTTTTGGTTCTAATTATTTAATCCACATGAGAGCTATTGCCTTAAGGTCATGAGTTTTTTGTTGTAATTGGCGTTTCTTATTGGTCAACACAACACAAGCTTTACCAGAGCACTAGCTAATACTTTACTAGACTAAAGTAGAATGATTGTGTTTTCCAATTTGTCTGATTGTAATCAATCAATAATTTATTAAGCCAGTAGACTAAAGTAGAATGATTATGTCTTCCAATTCACTAAAGCACTTGCAAACAATCAACTGAATCCCGATTTGTTTGCAGCGTGTCATCAATGAATTAAAACATTTTATGGTGGATAATCAATTGGAAACAGCTTTAAATGGGAAGTTGGGCTGAGTTGGCACTTGATTGGGCTTTAGACTGAGAGAGTAATCTGGTACAATAGAGCCGATACTAACATCTGATTCTGTCTAGACTCTAAATCACATCTTTAGTCGTCACATTTGAAACTTTGAATTCTTGAGTTTATATAAATTTTAATTCTCATTAGTTAATGCTTAACATTTGGCCTTTTGTTTAGAATAAAATCATTCCAATTTTTTGGTGTCTTTTTAGGTGGGATTTGGGATATGGTATACGTTTGGCCTATGTGAGTGATCCCTGCTACAGGAATTGACCTCTGTTAAATTTGATTTTCCTAAGCATTTTCTTTTGTTTAATGTCAAAACTATTTATAAGTTATATTTATAAGCAAGTGTTTATATTAGGAGGTTGTATGTTGACTAAGCTTTTAAGTTAGAAGGTGGAGGTGTCTTTAAGGTTTAATACAATAGATAAGTGGGTTAGATTTCTCAACTTTTAAATTTCTCAACTTTTAAATTGAATGTACCACTGATGTGGGTTTTCGACCTTCTATTGGATTTACCACTGGGTTAAAAATTCTAAAGAAATGCATGAACTTGGTGGTTCTAATGATGTGTTCTGCTGTTCGGGTTGGGTATTGGCAATGTGGGCCAGATCCCATTTTCTGTGACACTGCAGGTTTCCGCTTTCTGGATTTGTGAAACAGGAAAAACGAATTTTGGATGTCTGAGTCCATGGCCATAAAAACCGAATCTTTCAACAGATTTATAGACCTTTGCAGAGTTATGATTAACAGAGACTTCGTGGAGTGCAGTATTTGAGTCTGGTTTTGGCTAAATGTGAACATTGTAATACATTGTTAAGGAGATACCTTGAATTTTCCCTTATCTGGACAGTACTGAAAACAGTAATGTGAAACCTTCTTAGTTTACGTTCCATTGTTGGAGGAAACTCTATACGACTTTTGATTTGCTAAATAATGTGCATGTTGTGTATATGCTTTATAGTGCATATAAGCATATCAATAATTTTTGGGGATGGATGGAGGGTTGTGTGGGTATGCTAGGATGATAGCATACTTTATAAGAGTGTTAGCTTCAAAACTGAGTTGCTATGGTGCTTCTTGGATTTCAGAACATTGGCTATGCTCTATGGTACACCAGCCTATACAATGTTATACGGAATAGGACCAAAATATTTACTTTTTGAAAGCGCTAATGAGCAAGAAAACGGAAATATGTTATTGAAATGCAAGCATGTTCAATTTAATGTTTGTTAAAAGACCTTTTTTTTATTATGGTTTCTTCGGAGTTTCTTTTTCATTCAATGATGTAAATAATTTTCATCTTAATTTGTTTGTTTAATATAGGTAAGGGTGTTGTGCGAGAAGGCCAAGGAAATATTAATGGAAGAAAGCAATGTCCAGGTGGGCCTTTTTAGTTGCAAGTTTCTGTTTCATGTCTTTCTTTGTATTGTTTCATACAGGTTTTGGACCTATAAAGATTTGGGCATGTCATGAGGTAAATGAATAACCATTTTGGGTTTTATGTGTTGCAGCCTGTAAAAAGCCCTTTAACTATCTGTGGCGATATTCATGGACAATTCCATGATCTGGCGGAGCTTTTCCGCATTGGAGGAAAGCCATTGTTCTGATTTGGGCTATTTAATTTATCGTATGTGTTCTTCAAGGTTGTTAATTGGTTGCTACTTATTGGTGATGTTTTCTCTTTCTTATTTTGTAGTTTTCTGGTTTGTTCTGTTGGATGTTTCACTTTCCAAAAATAACATTAATTTCCTGTTGCAATTTTTTTTGCAGTGCCCAGATACAAACTATTTGTTTATGGGATATTATGTGGACCGTGGCTATTATTCAGTTGAAACAATGACCGTAAGTATTGAGTATTTTTATTTCTACTTCTTATCTTTCAATTAGTTAAGCTATAATTTTAGGGTTCTCCTTCTGGCACTAAGATAAAGGTATTTTGGAAACTCTGCAATGATTTGGGTTGATTATTTAGGGTTTTGATCAATGGCAAGCCCAAAAGGCCTAACTATCTGCCTCTGGAGGTATGCCAGTTCCTTTTGATTATCATATCATTCTTTCTCAGACTCTTAGTCTTATCTTTTTGGAACTCCTCTGTTTGATATCTAGATTTGTGCTTCCCCATGGGGTTTCTCTTGGTGTTTTAGCTTTGTTCATTAGTTTCGCTTCAACGGTATACAAAAGCATTATCTTCAAAGCAGAGGGCATCCTTAGTTGAAAAATCAAGGCAGAAGGCTCAGGAAAGAATAAGAACTGTGACTGATATAGCTTTGCAGGTCATGAAAGGTTTAGTTTCTTTACCACATGTTGCAATAATTCTTCTTGCTCATTTGATTTACTATTGTAGGCTATGAAAAAATACCAGTATGATAATGATCCTGTGCTTGCTACATGTGGAATTTCTATAAATAAGGACTTGACTCAGGTCAAGGGCCGTGTTCTTGAGACTCCGAAGGTAAACTGTCACTTTATATATGGGCTCTGTGGGGTGGGGGGGGGGGGAATTTGCGACTTGGATATTTCAAATGAGCTCAATAGGTTGTATCGAGTGCACAAATGAGCTCAATATGGCTCATCGGTTATAGAGAATTAGAATTTGCGACTTGGATATTTCAAATGACTAACAAACAGTAATCAATTTAACTTTTCTTCCCTGTCAATTTTCGTGCTTTTTCTTTTCTTATTACTTTTAGGAGTTAATTTTTGAGATATTTTATGACTAACAAACTTGAATTTTTTGCTATTTAGTAGTGAATTTGTAGCACAGTGGAAATATGTGGAATGAGGGCGATGTCTTCTACTTGCTCATCCAAAGGTTCCAATTTTTTGAATTCTTTTGGGGTTTTTTATCTTAATTTTATTTATGAAATTAGATGACTAATTTTTAAATAATGAGAAATTAGTTCTTCGTTGTGAAATGTTCATTTTTCGATGTTTCTATTAAAACAATGAATTTTTAATCTTCTATCAAATGGGCTGTAATTTCATATGTTTTAATGTAAACAGTTCACTGATTATGGTTGTAGTGGGTTGGTCTGAATTGCAGGATTATTAAGGTCTGGAAAAACTGATTATGGTTGTAGTAGGTTGGTCTGAATTGCAGGATTATTAAGGTCTGGAAAAGTTGCAGCCTGAGATGGACCAACTATCTGAGGCCAAACATGAAGAGAGGTCTTTTATCATAATATGAGGAGAAGATATGCGGGATGAAGAGGTGAGCGAGAGAGACGGTGAGGTTTTATTTTCTGATTTGGATTGTGAAATTGAGTAATTTTCTGCTTTGTGTCTTTTGAGCAGGTGTGGGATTTAGTTTCATGCCAGGGGTTGTAATGGGTGGATTGGATGTAAAATTTTCTTTTCGAATTTCAATCCCCCCTAAATCTCTTCATTCCAACCAAAATTTTAGTACTGATATATGAAATTTGCTAAATATCGTAACTCATTTTGGTCGTGAGTTTGTTCTGTAATTTTTTTTCCTCTGCTATTAATAGCTTACCACATGTGGTAGCAGAGTGATTGCGTTGGTAGCTTATGTATACAAGCAAATTTAGAAGACACAATGAGTTTGATATTCAAAAAAATGTCTGTTGGTTCAGTGTTTGAATCTTTAAAAATTGTCGAATCAATTTGAATATGTAATTTTATGTTTATCGTTAGGTAAATTGTTGTTTTTTTCGCTGATAAAAGGTATAGAGTTAGGCTGTGTAAATGTGTATAGTTTTATACGTTTCGTTTAGTTGACAATATGATAATGGTTGAAGTGCATTCTTTAATGAAATGTGTTTTCTTTCCTCGATCGTGAATGTCTTTTTGGTATTTTGCAGATCGAAACAAAGTGAAAGCTTTTGACTGTGAATTTTACAACCGCTGCCTTGCTGCTTTGGTAAAGTCTCTAACTTTTTGATAATATCATTTAATTTGGCCTGTAATGTTAGGGTATTGAGTTGAATGCATATGCTACATGGCATAGGTCTAACATGATTAGAACTTTAATATCATGATGTGTGATGCTAATTAAGCACAATATGAGTATCTGTACCACGAAAGACATGAGCATCTATCTGTTCCTATTGAGTCAAGTAAGGCATTGTATGCATAAGCACAAGTCATGACTAATTAATGTCCTATTGTTGGTGCAAGATACCATTTTTTAGACCTTATATCATTTGGACCTTTAGTTATATAACAAGTTGGTGCACTGAGTTGAATAAATGGTTGATAGGTTTGGTTTCATATTTATTGGAAAAGGAAAAATGGAGACATGGGAATACAATTATATATAGCATTGCTTATTTTTCTTGCAAGTCAAAGATGTGCCGATGGTGTTGAGGAGAATACCTAATTTAGTTTGACTGTTCTCATTTCTTTTGAGTTTTGTAATTGCATTTTTAAATCCAACATAGTTATCTAAGTTCGTTAGAATTTATGGTATTTTTTTAACAAGTTTTAAAAGATCCTGGTCATTCCGGTTAATTAAAGGTTTAAGATATCCACATTCATTTAACACATGAAAATTAAGCATTTTTATAATTAAAGTTTTAAATTATCTTCATTCTGTTCAAATGCACCATTTCCTTTTTGTTTCCCTTCTCTCATCCTGCAAGCACTCATGATGTCCATTTCCTTTTAATTTTGGTTAATGCAGGTTTTGAAATTTGTGATGATCATTTTCATATTTCTATAAATTTTGAGAGAAAAAAGCATGTGAAAAAGCACATTAATCTCTAGGTATAAAACACATTAGTCTAATTATGGCTAGGATAAAAAACCATGTGATAAACTGTGGCTTGGTTACACTGCAATTTCAATTTGGGATTTGAATTTATTTACAAAATTACGATCCTTTTTAAAATTTAGAAAAGAGCATGATAAAAGACCAATTTTCTTTACAGGAACTTGAATAAAAAGTAGGCCATGAGTGAAAACCAACCAGCAAAGATTATGGTGATTCACTAATTTAAACATAAACCAGCTTTGAGAGTTATGCTCACCCATTGTCGGTTTTCCTTGCGAGCATATTTCCTACCCAAAGTTTCCCAAACTGTGTTCTCAAACTGCTGCATCGGCATATCTTTCCAACTTCTAATGGTCTTTGGTGCTAGAACATCTTCTAACTCATTCTAGAAAAATTGATTCATAAGTAAAGACACCTAAAAGCAAGTAAACAGTTTAATCGAGGCAATTCAGAAGTAGAACCAAATAAGCCACTCCAACTTTCGCATACCCTCCGGCGTGATTTAATATCAGAAACTGTCTCCTGAATTCAAGTTTGCCTAGAGCTTCTAATTGTGCGCTCCCATCGTGTCTTTCTTGGTCTACAACCAAGGACCGATTAGTGAGTGCTTCAAAAAAAGATAGTTATCACAAACAAACAGTTGATCAAGATGATGTTTTTTGTGATTTGGGTTTATAGTGCTTCTAAATGCTGTTTTAATTGAGTTTTCTGTGTTTGCTCGATTCGTTGTTGTGGATGCCTGATACGTTTTTTTTCTTTCTTTTAGTTAGGAAATGGTGCCTTTCAGAGTTTGTCATTTTTGGTTGGGGTTTTTTCAAGCTGCTGTGTTAAAAAAGGTATATTATGTGTTTTTTTTCCCTTCCTTTTGTTTGTTGTTGAGACTTTTTTTTTTTGGCTTTATTCTTGCTGGTTTGGGATGGTTTTTGCATCGTATTTTTTATATGAGTTTGTTGTCCCTACTCATGACTCTGCTCTTTTCCAAGCAACCTACCACACTGTATATCTGTATCTGAATTTGATTTGTTTATATAGTTATATTTTCTTTGTGAGGAGATTTCTGTTTGCTGAATAAATGCTCAAGAAATTGGATCTTCAGGCTTAATTTAATTTTGGTTGGTTTTCATCATAATTCTTTTTGCTGCACTTGGTTTCTTAGCAACTTGGTGGAGGAATGATGTTAGAAAAAATTGCTTGGTGGAAAAGAACCATATAAGATGAAGGTTAAGGAAAGGGTGGCGTGGGGGTAAAGCTTGAGCTGGGTTTGTGGAATGGGGCTGGATTAGTTACAGACGGAGAAGGGGATGGGGGTGTGGAATGTCAGGGAGACTAAGGGAGAGGGAGCTCTGCCAAAAATTGGGATTAATGTTGAGGGGATTGTAGGGTAGATAGGAGGCTATGCCGCCTCTGAGATAGAGATAGAGAGAGACAGAGAGAGACGGAGACAGAGCGAGAGATGGAGGGATTTCAGGGATTTGCAAATTCTTCCCCTTGCTGCCTGTTCTGTTCTGATTTGAAGATTTCTCAAGTGGCTATAATTTGATGGTAGGTTGGTTTAAAGCAGTTCCAAAATATGGGATCGTTTGGGATATGTTCCTCTCTCTCTACATCTCAGATCTCTGCAGTTTCACAAATTAGGGTCACAAATTTCTCTCCGACTTCTGATTTTTGAATTTATGCTCAGTTTTTTGTTTGTTGAGATTTTTGGCCTATGGTCTGATTGACGTTGGGTTTACTCGAGTTTACAGGTCTATGTGTGCAGCAAGCAAAATCCTTTCATTCATATGAGCTTCTTGGGCCTCTTTTACCTTCACAGCAGCTTACCTACCTGGGTCAGTAATCTTAAATTGATTTCTTGATTTCTGTTGTTGAATGTTTATCTTAAATTGATTCTTTCCAGCTTATTTCCATCTGCAGCTTTTCTTTTGGCTCCAGAATACCATATGGAGACATATCATCTTTCTCTTCTCTCTCTCTCTCTCCTTCTCTTTCTCTCTTTATGAGCGTTGTCTTTCTTTCTTTAGTTGCGCACCATCAGGGACCGTAGTTACATCTTATCTTTTTGCTATATTTCTTTTACCTTTGAGTATTATGAGGATGTGATTTTAGACTCATCAACGACAAAAAAAATTGCTTTCATTTTATAGGAGTGAGATTTGATTTTTCATGCACTTATCTTTTAATTTTATTTGTTTATTTAGTTTTCCCAATATTTTGGGTGAAATTCTACCCCATGCATTTGGGTTTTAGTCTTTTCTAGGCCAGTTGCTAGAAAAAAAGGCGTTTTAGAGAGAGAGAGAGAAGACGGCTTGAAAAATTTAGTATCTTGAAGTGATAAAGCAAAGAGATTTCCAAAGCTAATCAAATTATTATCGTCATCTTGCTCTCTTTGGATTAATTGATGTTATAATGCATTTTGAAGCTTAAATTATAGATTCATTTTCTGTAGCAAACCTTGATTTATCAGTGTATAGAAAAAATATCAATTCATTTCAGTTTAAATATTTCTGAAAAGTTTAACATCTGCTGAGCACGTTGAGTGTTTGTAAATTAGCCGAATTATAGGGTCATGTGCAGGTGTTTGGTTTAAAACTTCTTTTTTTTCATGAGTTTTTATTAAGCTTTGTGACTTTTTTTTTGTATCTGTTGATTTCTAAATTACTATAATTAAGAACAAGATTAGTGAATTTATAATTTGCTGCTTAGCTTAACACGATCCTTGAATAAAATTTGAGTCTTGGTTAAAGTTAGGTCATATTTTTAAGAATCGTAAAAACTAAGGAAATTTTCTGGGTATCTCCTATTCAACTTTTGTTGGCAAATTGGTCTTTGCTAATCAATGTTATTTTTGGGTGCTAACTATTTTGGTCTTTATAAATTTTGGTAACGGTGATTTCTTCTACACTTATGATGTGACAATGTTGTGTAATGATTGTAGGTTTTTGAAAATTTTGAGCTTCACAAACTGTGGAAAAAGAAACAAGTTTTGCTGAAATCAGTTTAAAGGCACAATAACAAATGTATAAAAAAAATTTATTGGATGATGTAATTTGGTTTGGATTTGTAAATTATGCTTTTAAATGTGGATTAATTGTTTAAGTAATTTTAGATTATGCTGATTGTCTGTTTTCTCTTCTACTTATTTTGTGTTTTTCAGCTATTTTTCTGTAATTACCTTTTGTTTATATTATAGGACATGTTTGTAATTCTTATTTTGATAATTTTTTCTCCTTTCTCTCTTTTTGATACTTTGCATGTGCATTCACTTGGAAAAAATACGTTAGTCTAAATGATATTAATTGGAGGATATATTTTCTTTTGGAGCCATAAAATCTGCAACAGATTTCCAAGAATACAATGAGGTTGCTGGCGTTTCAGCGCTTGACTTTGGTTACACAAATAACACTGCAGTGTACCATACAAAAGTTTTTTTCCTTCCCTTTTGCCACTTTTTTGGGATATTAGTTACAAAATCTGTTTAGAGCATATATGTGAAATTTACAAGACGGGTTAGTAAGTTAATTAGTTAATTTGATTTTCAATGGATATGAGTTATTGCGATTTGCAGAGATAGACTAAAGACTTAAAGAAAACAATGTTTGTTTTGAGTACTTCTCACGTCATTGAGGCACAAATGTTGTTCCTGCATTAATTAATTTTTTTTATATCGCAATTGAATAAATTTAATTTTCCTTGATATCCAAATGTATTAAAGTAATGTTGATTGAAGTTTGTTTATGTTTGCTTTCCAAGATTCATTTTTTGGTTACCAGATATCTCACTTTGTTTATGGTTTGCTTTTTTAGTTAACTGAAACAGAGGCTTTTTATTCTTTGTGTTTTCAGGACTTCATTCACCCTTTACAAGTCAACCCTGCAATACCAAAGTACAAGAGAAACAAAGATTAGAGGTAATTTTTGCTCTAAGTTGGAATAGTTTCTAAGATTTGTATTGTGCAATTGTCCAGTGTTAACTACTAAATCGATTAAAAAACATTCTGTAGGGGCTGCGCTGCCATTCAATTACCTATGGAATTTCTAACATGCAATTAGTTTCTGTTTAGTTGAGTTCAAATAATGTTGATTGCGCTGTTATAAAGCTCTTTTTTATAGTTAGGTTGAAAATCTTATCGATATATTCTTTATTTAGTTGGTCCAATTTGTAACATATGAGATTCTTTTGTTTGATGTTTCAATCAAAATTTGATCCTTTTTTTGTTTGTTTGAAATTATAATGGAATTGCAAGTCAAGTATATCTTAAGATTCTTGGTTGCATACCCACCTTCCCACAACTATTAGTCTCTTGATTGGATGGATTTTTATAATTTCTTGGATCTACGGTTACAATGCTTTTTATAATTTCCTAGATCTATCATTTTTGTTCGTTCATGATTATGTTGAATGTTTTTCAGGTTAAATGTGTCTTATTCATGTAGTTAAGGCTGATGCATTCAACTCCCGCGGCATCGCGCGGGCTTATTACTAGTAACAAACTAACCAAAAAGAAGAGCAAAACTGCCTCTGTTCTGATCCGCTCGACTATTGTAACAAGTTAGAATAATAGTAGGCGCCAAGATTATGACAATAATAACTATTCAAAAAATTGACAAGAGGTAAAAAATCTAGATAAATACCAAGAGACGTGCATGCATGAAAAGCATAATTAAGAATACAATAAAGGATCTCTGAGGAAGGACAGTTAACAGCTTTGTTTACCTGGTCTTTGCTAGATCTTCTTCTAGAAATTTCACTCATTCTGCAGCCTGGTCTTCAGCCTTTCTTGTAGCTTCCTACATTAGTTCATATTTTCTATCATATTTTATAGCAGTACAAATTACCAAGTAACAACAATACCAAACATGCACTTCCTTAGATAATATCCAATGATCACAATACCTGACAACTCTCAAGGAGAAGCTTGACGTCAGTTCTTTCTTCTGTAAAAAATAATTAAGTTGTACCACAATAATTTTTTGCATTGAAGCAAAAGACTTTAATACCTCTCAATCTACAATACTACTCCATCTACTCGCGAAGAGCTTACAAAGGTGTGAAGGGATTCAATCATGCACCCTTGTTCTTCAACTCTTTGTAACACTGCCGCAAATCTAGAGGCAGCTTCATCAGTGTGTTTCTTGATCTTCATTTCAAAATTCTCCTCTAGTTCAAGATTCACAAAAACTCATCAAATAGTTTTCACGAGCAAAACTGGTAGCACTACCTACTAAGCTAAACAAACAAGCTCCATACTGACAAACATTGAAACTCACACCAAACTTGAACTCCATTTCCCTATTTCCATGCTGGTCAGAAAGATTCTAAACAAGGCTCTTGAGCTGCGCATTATGATCAACTAGATCATTTATGTCCTTGAGGGTCAACTGTTTGCATTGTTATACCCAAAAGAAATTAGATACAATCATACATGACTCTCTCAGCATCCGATTCAGTGTTCATCCGATTCTACGGCTGAGGATTGAGTTCCGAACACCGACGTAGGACCTACTCTATGTTGAGGTGGATCTTCAAATAACACCCACCCATTACAAATTTCCCAACAGCTGTGAAACTGAAAGGGTTTCGAGCTGCCCTCCATATACAATTTCTCTGCTTGGTGTACCTAGAAAATATAATTACAAAAATTGAAGGAAATTAATTTATGAAATTAAATGTAATATAATTAAATATTTAAAATAAATTGTGAAAACACTTATTCCGTCGTAGTAATTGGCGTCGCTTTCATGTCTACTTGCGTATACTATCAGTGCTTGATGCCATTTATTCAAACTTGGATGAAGATGTTTCTTCCATCTTGAAGAACAACTCTCGTGGTTTCGAGTATTCAATGGAGTGGTGCTTTCGTAGAACTCATAGTATTTTTTGGACACACGAGTCCAAATACATTCACTTGTTTGAGAAGTCCCCCCCACACTATCTTCCGAAACCCATTTATAAGCCCTGCAAAGAACTTTATCTTCTTTTCAGGTCCAAGCCTTACATTTCATTGTAGATGAGGCCATTTGAAAATTATTGAAAAAAATTGAAGGAAAGATTATTGGAAGAGATAAGAAAATAGAATGTGAAGAATTGAAATAGAATGAAGTGAGATAGTAGGGAATGATGAAAATTATGTGACAAATGGTGTAGGAAAGGCTTAAGTATTTATAGGAAAAAATAAGAATTTTTTAAAAATGATTTTAAAAAAATTTGGTCGGAAAAAACAAATCAAATCCAACGGTAATTAATGTCAGTTAGCCGTTGTGTTTGAAAATGTGGCCTGGCTCGGGGCTGGCTAGCTGGCTGGGTTGGGCCAGCCGGTTGGCCCTTTGGCTTTTTTTTGTCTAGTGGGGCCCACGAGCCCTTTGGCCAAGTCTTTGGTTGGGAATGGTTTTCGGGCTATTTTCGGCCCTTTGACCCTTTGGACTCTTCAGTTGGAGATAGCCTAAGGGAGAAAATTGATAAAAAGTATGAAAAGGCTGAGTGGGGTGTGCGTGAGCCTACTTTTGAAATTGATTGGGGCTGGGTGTGGGTGTGGAGAAAATTTTCAGCGTGATCGGTACACGAGGTGATACACTACGTGTCACTATACAAATTGTGAGATATGTGTGTTAAAAAGTTAATAACTTAAAAAATAAAATTTCCCACAACTTATATAAAAACACGTGGTGTGCCCCCGTGTTTCGGTCACAATGAAAAATTTCTCGTGGGTGTGGTAGGAAGTAGGGGTGGGCAAATGGATATAGGAACCGCTGGTTAGGGCGAGTAATCATGGTTCAGGATAGGTATGGGCCGGTTCTTAATATTTTACAGAACAAACAGGGCGGACTGGGCCAGGCCCTTTTCATTTACGGGGCGGGCCGAGTCCAGATATTTAGAAAAAGGGGTACTCTAACCGACTCGTTTCTAATTATAATGAACTGTCGAGATTGAATGATAACCTATCATCTAATTTCAACCATTAGTTTCTACCCTAGGTTCTACCCGAGTCTAAGCCAAGGTTCCAGAATCACAGTCACTCTCTCAAGTCTCAGCTGCCTTTCTATCCCTCTCTCTTGTTCATCTCTTTTCCTTTTACTCCATCTCTTTCCCCATCGACTCTGTCACAGTGTCATTGGAATAGAGGCCTTGATTACCTTGTACGGAGACTTGTTGTCAGACTCAGACTCCAAGTCGCCGGCTCCACCTCCACCATTACCTCCGAAGCTCAACAGCCCTCAAGAACCGACCTCAAGAACCGACCTCTACGCTACCTCCACCTCCTCTATCACTTCTTAACAGCCCCAATTCCTTTGGAAACCTCTGATTCCCATCAATTTTCTATTTTTTAGCTTTCTGTTGTGATGGCTTTTTCCGAGTTACACACCAAGTGTTTGATGAAACGTTTTCAGATTGGCGTCAACGATGGCGTTTTGCTATGACTTTTTCAGCTTGGCTTGCTGTTGGTGCTCGTCTTTCTTCTCTTCCTTGGGCTTGGGCTTCCAGCCTCGAGTCTCATTCTTCTTCACCAGTTAGGCTTGCTGCTGTGACTGAGCATCCATGGTTGCTCCGCCTACCGTTTGGTTACGAGACTCTGAGTCAATCCCACGACTCATATCTCATCCATCTCCTTCCTCTACTTCTGCTCTGGCTTCTCTCACTTCTCCCCGATCAAGGTACGCCTACGGTTTCTACATATCTCAATTAGTTAAATTGTGAACGATGCATTGTTATAAGTAAATGTTTCTGAACTCAAAGTTTGTATCGGGGATTTGATATTCATTAGAGTTTTTTTATGACCCGTGTTTGTTCAGGACAGAAATTACAAGCTAATACAGAGGCTAATTCTGACAAGCTCGTGAAGGTTGAGGAGCAGATTGGCATCATTCCAAAACCAAAAAAAAAAGAAGTAATTAGACCCCTCCCGAACCGGCCCATTTGAAACGGGCCTGGTTA